AAAAAAAGGGGGGGTGATAAACTGGGTTTCCCAAATGTCAACATTTTCTGCTGCTCTGACGCCGCTGGGGAGAGAAACGAGGAGGCAAGCCAGAGACTGAAGGAACGTGGTTCGGATGTGCACCTGATGAAGACCTGTCTGTGGGTTATTTTTAGTGGTAAAACTCAGTAGTTTTTTAAAAGCCCAGTTTTCCTTTTTTTTTTTAAATTTATTTCTTTTTTTTAGAGAGAAGGGAAGAGAAAAAGAAAGAGACACAAAGAAAGAAACACATTGATGTTTGGTTGCTTCTAGCATGCCCCCTACTGGGGACCTAGCCCACAACCCAGCCCTGTGCCCTGACTGGGAATCAAACCAGTGACTCTGTTTCGCAGTCTGGCACTCAGTTCACTGAGCCGCACCAGCTAGGGACCATTTTCTTAAAATGAGCAAAATAGCTGAAGAGACACTTCCTGGGGAAAAACATACAAAGGGCCCAAAGACATTAAAACAAGGGCCGGCGTCAGTGGTCAGCAGGGAGATGCCACTCTGAACCCAACAGGGCAACTCGGTGCGGAAAGGCTGGCCGTGCCCAGGGCTGGCGAGGACCAGCAACCCCGGGGACTCTCCCACGTCCCCGGGGGTGGGGAGGGGACACAATAGACACAGCCACGTCGGAAGACAGTTTGGTGGTTTCTGGTCAAGTTAAATGAACATCTACTTGGGACCCAGACATTGCAGTCCTTTGTGTCCACCCAGAGGGAGGGAAATGCATGTTCGCTGTTCTCGGGGCCTGGTGAGGGCGGGAGGGGGGGCTCTGCTTGCCGGGGGTTGGGGGGTATGAACGGCACAGATACAGAGGCTGGTACCGCTGGCTCACAGCAGCTGAAACTGGACACTGCTCAGAACCCAGGGTCCGGCCTCCAGTCTGTTCGCACAACACGGTGCTGCTCAGGAACTCCAAGACAGACGCACGAAATGGCGTGAACCTCAGAAGCACTGTTGAGTGGAGGCAGCCCTACGTGCAAGAGTGTTTTTATTTGTTTATTCATTTATTTCTAGAGAGAAGGGAAGGGAGGGAGAAAGAGAAGGAAACATCATTATGCAGTTTCCTCTTGTGCGCCCCCTACTGGGGACCTGACCCGACACCCAGGCATGTGCCCTGACTGGGAATCGAACCGGCGACCCTTTGCTTCACAGGCCTGCACTCAATCCACTGAGCCACTCTGGCCAGGACTGTGAAAGAGTGTGCAATGTGTGGGTCCGTGTGTGTGTGTGAATCACAGCAGCGAGAAACTGCCTTAAATCCCGCTCAGGGGTTCGCCCCCCTCACGGTGTGGGTGCCCCGGGCACAGGGAGGCACATGGAGTCTGACCCGGAACCTGAGGGTCCTGGCTGTGGCTGCGGCTGCAGCCCAGGCCAGTGGCCGTGGGAACCCAGCCCCAGGCAGCGGGGCGACCGGCCTCAGCCAGTCCGGCACAGGAAACCACCCAGATGGGCCTCTTCCCCAGGCCTGGTCCCTCAGGCCCCCCGTCTGTGAGTAGTAGGGCCCGCTCTGTGTCACCTGTGGCTCCGACGGAGAGAAGGTGGTCAGGACGCAGCACGTCCCACTGTGCGTGGCTGTGTGACAAGGGACCGCACACTCAGCGGCACAGAACGAGCATTTGTTGTGCCCCTGTGTTCGGCGGGACCCGTGGGCCCCACTGTGCTCCATCGTGTCCAGAGTCTCACCCGGAAGACGCAGACTCTGTGGCTGCAGTGGAGAGGCCACTCGGCGGAGAAAGGACGGTCCCTCACTGCCTGGGGCCGGGACTGCTGGACGTCCACGTGCAGAACCACCAGCCCACACACAGGCTGCGCCCTTCACGGAGTCAGCTCGGGACGGACCGAGGACCCAGATGCAACCCCCAGACCAGAAAGCCCCAGAAGGCGACCCGGGGACACCTAGAGGACCTGGGGTTCGGCACTGACTTTTCAGGTGCCGCACCGAAGACACGGCCCAGCCTGTGAGAGAGAGAGAGCCGATGGGCTGGACCTCATTGAAACCAGACCTTCTGCTCCACGGGAGCCACTGCCGCGAGAACGGGAAGACGAGCCACGGGTTGGGGGGTGGAGGCATTTGCAACAGACACATCTGACGCTGGACCGGGGTCCAAAGTGTACGAAGGGTTCGTAAAGCCGGTGAGCAAAGAAGGGACCGGGTGAAGAACAGGCTAACACCTGAGCAGGCCCTCGCCCAGGACGACAGGCAGGTGGCACCTGAGCCATCGGGAAGACGCGCCCGTCGCACGTCACCAGGGACGCGCAGACTAAACACGACACCGCTGCACCCGTCAGAGCGGCCGGGACCCAGAGCACGGACGACACCCAGCACCGGGGAGGGGACACTCGGACCCCACCGGTGGGGCGCAGGTGGGGGGCAGGTGGGGCGCAGGTGCCGCTGTGGGAGGCAGCTGGGTGGCTTCTTCCCGTGACCCAAACTGGCTCACGGGACCCGGCAGCCACGCCCCTCGGCCTTCACCGGGGGAGCCGGCAGCTCCGCCCACAGAAAACCCTGCCCGTGGGCCTCCCTGCAGCTCCGCTCCTGACTGACAGGCCCGGCGGCCACCCAGACGTCCTCCCGCTCCTGGGGGGGGCGGGAAAGTCGCCGGGGCCCCTCCGGACAGCGGGACGCGGTTCAGAGCTGCAGGGAAAGGCGCTGTGGAGTCTGGGAAGCCGCGGAGGGCCCCGAGACGCGCACCAAGGAGTGAAAGGCGCTGACGTTGAGAGGCCACACCCGTGCGCCCCTGCTCGGGATGCCCCGGGAAGGGCCGAGCCGTGGAGACAGGGAGGGACCAGCGGGTGCGGGGGCTGGGGGAGGGACGCCCGGAGGAGCCCAGAGGACTTGGGGCGGTGACTGCTCTGTGTGACACCGTCACGGTGGACACACGTCACCCCCCCGCTCGTCCAGACCCACGGGGCGCGCCCCCGAGCATGACCCCAGTGCAAACCTCGGCCTTTTGGGGGCGCCGGGCGTCAGCGCAGCCTCACTGACCACGACAGGCCGGCCAGCCGGTGGGGACGTGGACACCGGGGAGGCCGGGCGGGCCTCTCTGCACCCGGTCTCACGGCTGCTGCGAGCTGGGAGCCCTCTGGAAACGCAGGGCGGTTGCCGCTCGCCTCTCCCAGGAGCCCGCGGGTCGAGCCGACAGAGAATAAGGACTCACGCCCCCCCCTCCACCCCGGCCACAGCAAGTGAGTCCGCTCCAGCAGGCGGAGGGGGACGTGCGGGTGGGGAGAGAAAGGGCGCGTGGCCGTTGACGGGGACGCGGTGGCCCCACCCGGGGCCCAGAGAGGGCAGCACAGGAGGGGCGGCGGGGGGTGCTGGATGCGGGCGGCAGGGCTCGAGGCGGGCCTCGGGGGCGGACCCGGGTTCCGTTGGAGAGCTGAGTGGGGCTGAGCTCCGTGGAAGCTGGGGGCGACCGGGGGGCGGGGCGGCCAAACTGATGCCGATGACCGCGCTGACCAGCCAGGGGGCCGTAGGCTGCTGGAGGCGGGGGAGCTCTCAGAGACGGAGGGCCGGCCCCTGGCTGGGCGGTGTGGCCCCTCCTGAGACAGGGAGGCGAGGAGGCAGGGGACCGAGGCCGAGGGCAGGTGCCGGGACAGGGAGGACAGGCCGGCGTCCGGGCTCCGCCCGAGGAGACTGGCCTCTGGCCAGTCACGGGTGACCCGCCACTGCGAACGGAATGCTCTTCCTCATTCCCAGGCTCCCGCCCCCCTCTGCCCACAGGGTGTTCCCCGAGTCCCCGAGGGGTGTGTCTGCCGGCTGGCCCACAGCCGGGCCCTGGGCGGGGAGGCCGGGTCCCCTGTCCCCACGGGGCAACCATGCAGGCTGTGCCTGCGCTGGCCCACCCTCTTCAGTGAGCTTCCAGCCACCGGAGAGCCGGCCGCGGGTGGAGGTGCTCCGGGAACTGCTGGAGGGCACGACTGGGGGGGGGCGCCTTCCCCGCACTCTAGGGAGCAAACTCTCGACCTCCGGCCCTCAGCCCCACCCTCGCCCTCCCTTCCCTGAGGCGTGGCCCGTCTCCAGTTCCAGCACAGACCTGGCAGGCGCCACAGCCCGCAGCCCCCAGGCGAGCAGGGATGCAGGCCCCTGCCCTGCGACCGGGCCCCCGGGCTGGGACTCTGGAGGTGGACACTGTGCTGCGCTGGGCCTCACCGCCCGGTCCCAGAGCTGGATGCAGTGGCCCCCCCGCAAACCCGCCCTCTGAGCCGGGGCAGCGCTTCGCCAAGCACAACCTCAGTTGCAGTGAGCGAGGGGCTCACCCGCGTCCGCCCCTGGCAATTCTAGGGGCACACCACCCGTCCAGCCGCTCCAGCCAGCCTCCTGAGACCCCACCTCTGTCCTCAGGCCCCCTCCTGCCCGGGACAGCCTCCTCTCCTGGCTCGGCTGGTCCGCTGTGCATGGGCTCTGGGACGGAGGAGCCCCCCGGGTGTGGTGGGGTCTCCCCCCCGGGCCGGGGCAGTGCCGAGGGCGCCAGACCAGACGGACACAGGGACCTACAACCCCTTCAGCCATCACTGCCTGCCCCTCTCCGCGGCACAGGGCACCCCGAGGCTCTGGCAGGGGGGACGCCGTGCTGCACGGTGCAGGCTGGATGGGACACTTTCAGGTGTGGGAGGACATGCCCCCCCGCTGTGGCCGCTGCCTTGGAGGGGACGGCGGTGGGACGAGGAAACAGCCGTGACGGGGGCCGGCCCGCACACCACTTCCTCCCAAGCAGGTGTCGGAGCAGCCGGGGCCGGCACGCCCTTCCTCACGAGACACAGACACGGGTTACGAAACGTGTTTTTATTTTAAGTCAAAGTACCAGGCAGATACTTGCAAAACAACGTACAAAGTGAAACTCAGACGCCCGGGTCCCTGGGCGGCCTCTGAGCACCAGTGAGGAAAACCAAGCCCATCCGGCCGGGGGAGGGGCCGGGCCGGTGCAGAGCCCCCCCCCCCCCGCAGCCCAGCGGGGCCCCAGGAGGGGGGAGGGGGGAGGGCGGGCCCTGTGCACCGGGGTGCGGGGCTGGGCGGGGGCTCCGCGTGTATGGCTCTGCAGTGCACCCCCAGGGCTGGTCGGGGGCCCGGGGGGCCGGTGGGTGGGCGAGTCTGGCTCTGACCCGGCCGGGGGCGGTTTTCGGCAAACGAGGCTGGTGCACTTGGGGACCAGCGGGGCATGCCCGCACCAGCAGGGCCCACGCTGCCCCCGAAGGGACCTCGAGACTCCGTCGGGACGCACCCGCGAAGAAGTGCGGACGCAAACGAGAGCAAACACCACGCCGGCACCAGCGGACCCGTGAACAGCGAACAGAAACACGTAACAGAGGAAACGGAGGCGGCCTCAGCGGTGGGGCGCAGGGCGGGGCCCACTGAGGTGGGGCCGGGGCGCTGGACAGATGGAAGGACGGACGGTCAGGTCCCAGTTCCCTTCAAAATGCAGGCGGGTCCTCCCCGAGGTGGGGACCCGGAGAAGGGTCCTAGCGGGCCACACGCCCCGGCCCCCGGGCCCCGGTGCCCGAGGGGCTGGAGCCGTCCCAGGGGCCCTGCTGGAGTCAGAGCCGCGGGTGGCCCCCAACAGCCCGTCAGCGAGCCTCTGGGTGCCCACCGTGACTGGCGCTGGCCCTGGCTGTGCCCTCTGGGCAGCCACATCCCCCCCCGGAGCAGTGGGCACAGCCCCCGGGGGGCCGGAGGTCCCAGGCGGGGCCTGTCTCAGCAGTCCCACCCTGGGACCTGAGTGCCGGGACCTCCAGCACGTGGTCACCTTCACACAGGCCGTCCCGACAGCCGCTTTGTACAAAACCCTCTGGAATCCAGGGCGGATTCCGGAAGCCTAGGCACTCAGCATGGTTTGGGTTGAAAACACTATAAATCTGACTCTTCCTAGAAGCCGGCTAAAGAATTCATGGGAAGGCCCCACGGTGCGTGGGGGCGGCCCCTGAGCGCCGGGCGTCCGCAGGCGGGCGGGCTTGGGGGAGCTCGTGCGCAGGGGGGCCCCCGCCCCTCGACGCAGGCGGGTTTGCCCAGGCCCGCACCCCAGACCCCGGGACGGCCCCGGGCCCGAGCCCACGCCGACCCGACACGCCGCCCGCGCCCGCGCCGGGGCCGGTGCAGAGTGCCAGCCGCACTAAACCTACAGAAAACTGTGGGAAGAAACCAAATCCATAGGATCCACGGCTTTCCACCCTCGGGGTCGGTCCCCAAGACATGTGCTAGTGACGTGCCCCCGGCCGCGCGGGCCGCGCCCTCCCGTCTGGCTCCTGGCCGGGCCGGCGTGTAAACAGTGTTCGTAAGCAACAGATGGAAAAATACGTTTCCGAGAAAACAAGGAGGAGGTTTGGAGTGCGGGGCCCGGCGGGCGTCCCGGGCCGCTGCTGCCGGCGGCCCCTCTCCCTCCTCGCGCCCCTTCGGGCGTCTCCTCTCTTTGGTTCGGCAGCCCCGCGGACTCGCCGCGCCCCGAGGACGGGGCCGGCCCCTGCCCGCGAAGGGCCTCGCCTCCAGCAGCGGCTACTTGTGCTCCTGGCCCTCGGCCACGGTGGCCACCTCGATGGTGGCCGTGTGCTCCTCCGGTCCCGAGGCCACCACGGCGCTCTCCACGGCCCCCGTGGGCACTGTCACGATGGTGCTCCCCCCAGGGGACACCTGGGCCACGTTCTGCAGGGCGGGGCCCAGGCCGGGCAGGGTGAGCAGCTGCAGGGGGCTGACCACCTTGACCACCGTGCTGCCGTCCTGCACGGCGGCCGTGCTCAGGACCGTGAGGCTGGACGCGTCCGGGTGGATCTCCACCGTGCCGGGGAAGGAGGTGCCTGAGGAGGCCAGCACCGTGTAGCCCCCGAGCAGCGGCGAGGCTGGGGAGCTGGCGGGGGCCACCTGGGGGCAGCTCTTGGCCAGCGCAGGGGCGGGCAGGGCGGACACCACCTTGCCGAGCGGCACGCCGGTCAGCTGGGAGACGGGCACGCCGGGGCTGAGGGCGATCTGGGCGGACTGGGCGAGCACCTGCGAGGCGATGGCGGCCGGCCCGGATGCGGCCCTGGCGAGCCGCGGCCGCTTGGCGGGGGGCGGCAGGGCCACGGGCGTCAGCGTCATGAGCACGTTGCTGAGGTGCTGGGACTTGTGCTTGAGCTCCTTGGCCCGCCGGCGGTGCTCGTCACACTGCTGCTCCAGGGCTGCGGGGACGGCGGGGACAGCGCGTCACACCCTGACCCACCCACATGGCGCCCACAGAGCTGCTCTCGTGACCTGAGGCAGGACCGAGGTTGGAAGAGCAGGTGGAGCCAGCCTGTTCTACGCACACGGGCACGCACACGCACACGGGCACACACACGCACACGGGCACGCACACGCACACGGGCACACACACGCACACGGGCACGCACACGGGCGCACACGGGCATGCACACGCACACGGGCACGCACATGCACACGGGCACACACGGGCACACACACGCACACGGGCACACACACGCACATGGGCACGCACACGCACACGGGCACACACAGGCACACACAGCCACACGGGCACACACACGCACACGGCCACACACGGGCACACACAGGCACACACGCACACACACGCATACCCGTGAGCCCAGACCCCGGGGAGGCGCAGAGGAGGACGGGCACAGCTGGCCGCAGCAGGCTCGGGGTCGCGGCCTGCCCCCCACGCGTCCCTGCCGCGCCCGCCCGTGAGCGCCCACGCAGCGGGACCCGCCCCCGCCCGCCCCAGCGTGGTCCAAGTGTCAGGCCACGCCCTGCACCGGGGCCCTCCTGTCCCACTCGGTCGGCGGGCGCCCCCGCGCACCAGCCAGGTCTCGGGCGTACTGCTCCCGCGAGCGGTCCATCTGGCACTTGTGGCTGGCCAGCACCTTCTTCACCAGGTCCAGCATGCCGAAGTTCTGCACGATGTTGTTCAGCAGCACAGCGTCTGCGGGCCGGGGCGGGGGGGCGGGTTAGGGGCGCTGGAGCAGCAGGACTGGCTGCCCCCCGCCCCCCGCCCCCCACAGAGGAGCCCCTGGCGCCCGCCGCCAGCCCAGCCCAGCCCCGGCCCCGCTCTGCAGGAAGGGCCGGCGGCCACGGCCTCACCTCGGAGCTGCAGGGGCGGGTCCTGCACCCGCTGCTGCAGGCCCCTCATGGTCTCCACCATCTCCTGGTGGAACTCCTGGATGACCTCGTCCAGCAGTCCGGCGTCCTTGAGCCCCCGCCAGAAGGCGAACGTGTCGTCTGCGAAGGGAGGAGAGGCTCAGAGACGGGCCGTCCTTCCCGGGCCCGCCGGGGGCTTCAAACCACGGGGGGAGCGACAGACCCCCGGAGGACACAGTTCTGGGGGTCGCCGGCACCCCCCCGAGTGGGGCCTGAGGTGGCCAGGGGGGCAGCCTGGCGGGGACGCAGCCCCCGAGCACCTGAGCCCCCGTGGGCACGGCCCCCCACTTGGACCCCGCCCAGGGGAGGGAGCCCGCACCTCCGATGGCCGTGGTCCAGTCGCCGGGGTCCTCGCAGGTCTCTATGGTGATGGTGGCGGGAGACCCGTTCACTGCAACGAGACAGAGGCAGGTGAGCCCGCCCGCCTCGCCCCGAAGCGTCCTCTGCCTGGGCACACGAAGCCCACGGACGGTGCCCCGGAGCCGGGGGGGACCCGCCGCCACACACGTCACCGGCCTCCTCGCAGGCCCTGCAGGCACCCACGGGGCAGAGGAGCCGACAGGAACCCCCGTGCCCGGGGCCCGGGGCCCACCCCTCCACACCGGCCCCAGGGTGGGCGAGGGCGAGCCGTGCCGCCGCCCGGCCTCCAGCACGTGCCCGGCTTCAGCCAAGGCCCCCGCCACTCACAGCCCGCCCAGGCCGCCCACGCGGGGACAGTGCAGGCAACCCGAGGGGACCTCCGGCCCCAATCCCCAGCAGCACCCTCGCTCGGGCTCCGGGGAACCTGGGCTGCGCGGGGCGTCTGCCCGCCCCGAGGGAGTGTCGCCACGGCGGCTGCCGGAGCCCCGGGGCAGGAAGGCAGGGGGCGCAGTCCCCCGGGGGCAGCTGCGTGGGGACACGGGGACACCCCACGGCCAGAGCTGCCGGCAGCCCACGCGGGCTGTCATTCCGCACTCACTGCCCCTAGGAGTCTCTAGGTTTTACCACAACAGTGGCTTGGGGAGGAGAGGGGCTTGAGTCATCCTGCCGCCGAAGCGGAGGCTCCCGCTTGCCGCCTGCGCAGTGGCAGGAGGCGGCCCACCTCCAGCTGGGGGGCGGGCGACACGGGGGGGGGGGGGGGGGGTGCGGCGAGGCGTGTACCGTCGGCCGCAGCGGGCGTGAGCGGGAGGTACTCGGCCGACGTGGGGCTGCTCAGGGGCACGCGGGCGCCCGACAGGTCGATCTTGGTGCTGCGGCAGGTGTTGGAGCAGACCTTGTCGTGCTGGTAGAAGTCCAGCTCCCCGGAGTCCATGATCTTCCTGCGGACGGAGACAGGGCGGCGGCCGAGCTGCGGCGGGCCGAGCTGCGTGGGCCTCTCGCCGGTGACCGAGGCCACACCCACTGCACTCCGGCCCCGCCCCCAGGAGTCCTCATTGGCTGCTCTGGTCACTGGCCACACTGGGCGGGGCCTCACGGCAGCCCCGACACGCGGACACCGTCTGGGAAACCGGGACCCGCAGAGGGTGGAGCGGGCCGCTGAGTTCCGTGTTCCGCCTGCTCGGGGGCAGGAGGCAGGAGGCTCGGGGGCTGCAGGGCCCCGGACCTGGGCCTCGCGCCTCCCAGGCTGCAGCTCCCACAGAGAGTGACCGGCCCGGGTCGCGCCCCCGCAGCGGCAAGGGGGCAGCAGGAGCAGGGTCCGCCCCTCTGGGTCGGGGCAGGGAGGACTGCAGCCTGTCCACAGTGAAGCGGCCTGGCGCAGTGCGGACACCGCCGGACACACCTCTGGGGGCCGCCGGGCGGAGGGCGGGGTCGGACCCACGGGGGCGCCCCTTCCAGCGAGGGCTGGTGGAGGCGCCAGAGCAGGAGACGCCGGAACGTCCCGGGCCTGCGCACGTGAAGCCTCGGGTCCGAAGGGGTCGGGAGGCTGGCGCTGCCGAGAGCCCCACGCGGAAGAGCGGAGCCCCGGGGGCCGCCAAGCGAGGGACCGGCCACACAGGCACCGCGGGCCACGGACCCGCGCTCTCGGCACATGCCGCCAGGAAGGCCGGCTGGGACGGGCGGGCGCTCCGTGCCGCTCCTGGAGCACTCCCTGTGGCCGGCCGCCGGGCCTCCAGGGGAGCTGGGGGGGGGGCCGCAGGAGGGGACGAGAGAAGCTACGGGTCGGATGGCATCCGGTGGCAGGGGACAGTGCCGGCTCTCCTCGCGGCCCAGACAAGCCTCCCGCTCACGCCCCCAAACCTGGGAAAAGTGGCACTTGTGCGTCCCCGCCAGGGAGGGGCCCCTGGCACGGCCCCGCCCCGCAGACGCCCACCTGAGCATGATGCCGTTCATCCGGATGGCCCTCTTCCAGTCCTTCAGGGTGGACTTGCCGGCCAGGTGCACGAACTCCTTGGGGCTGATGACGTGCTCGTCGTACTGTGGAGGGGACAGAGCAGAGCGGTCAGGGCGCGCCTCCCGCCACCTCCCGCTCCCGCCTGACACGTCCCGCCTGACAGGTGCGGGGTCCGGAGCGCGGCTGGGGGCGGCTGTGGCCGAGGCAGAGGAGCCCCGGGCCTGCCTTCAGTCCCACACGGGCCCAGGCGAGACCGGGTGTGGCCCCCTTGCCTGCACGGGGCTGGCCTCCTGCAGCCGCCGGGAGGGACATGCTGCGGGCACACGCCCAGACAGGGTCGGCACGTCTCACCACGGACGCCCACACCAGCGCAACACGGGACCCGACGTGGAGAGAGCCACGCCGGCCCACCCTCCACCCCCACCGCCCCCCAGTGGCACACACACGCCCGTGGTGGGGCAGGGACGGCCCTCCCTGCCCCAGGCCCTGGGCCCGCCGGTGCCCCCACGGCCGGAACGCAGGCAGCCCGGAAAGGTCCACCGTCCCGTTCGGCCCCCTCAAGGGGCAGCCCTGCACCCAGGGGAGCAAGACGAGACCGCGTTCGCTCGGGAACAAGCAGGCCAGGGCGGGTGCGGCAGCGGGTCTCGGCGGACCGGGACGCTGGCCGGGGGCCCTGCCGTCTGCCTCAGGTGCAGCCCAGACCACCCAGCCGCCGGCGGTCACAGGGCGCCCCAGCTCTGCCTCCATCACTCGTGGTGGGTCCCGGCCCGTGCGGCCAGCCCGGGACTCCGGCCAAGGGGCCCTCCCCCGACTCCCCTGAGCGGCTGCCCTTTCTCTCCGAGTCCAGGGAGACGCGCGGTCCCGCGCTCACACCGCTGCCGACCCGCGGCCACGTGTCGGCCCCCTGCTGGAGCCTCCCTGAGATGCGGCCTCGGTGCTGCAGCGTCCGGCACGCTCCGCTCCGCTCCCCACCGTGCCTGCTCCTCTGCTCCCGCGCCTCCCCCACCCAGAGCTCCGTCGGGCCGCTGGCCCGGACACAGGCCGGCCCGGACCCCGAGCTGGAGCCCCCGGTGGGGGGGGAGGAATGGTCCGCCTTGTTTTCATGTCTCTTTGCTGGGGTGGCGAGCTCTCCTTTACTGCAGTGCATGGCATTCCTTGAGGTGTTCGGGTCTTCTTTTCGGTTGGCCAAAAAGTTCGTCCCTTTTCCCCCCATAAGCTGGCCGCGGTCCAGGCCAAGACTCTCCACAAACTCCCCGGCACCAAAGACCGAGGAGACTGGCCTGCGGCCACCGGACGCACATGCGGCCTGAGCTGCAGCTGCGGCCAGCTGTCTGCAACTCCGTCTGAAAAAGCTCTGTGAGACGGCAGCCTGCCAGCTGTGCCGCCAGCGCGCACCGAGAAATCAGGGCCGGCGTGTCCTTGTGCCACCACTTTAATGCTGAAGATGGAAGAAAATACGCCACGTTTTCGGCATGTTTGGCTTTGTTATTTCAAGAAAGGTAAAAACGCAACTGAAATGCAAAAAGCCTGGTGCGGTGCGGGGAGAAGGCGCTGCGACAGAGCGGACGTGTCGGGGGTGGTGTGCGGAGTTTCCCGCCGGACGGTGCTGGGCGGGTGCACGGACCGGCTGCAGGTGGCAGCGGTCCCGCGGGACAGTGGTCGGGAGCATCAGCAGCGTCCTGCCCCGCGGGAGAGGGCCGGCTCGCTCCGCACACGCAGACCACGCGCTGAAAACCACCCGCACCAGCGTGGTGTCGTTGACTGCGTGGCTGGTGGGCCCACGTTGAGAGGGAAGAGCCTTCTCGACACGCCTCCGGGCACACGGTCCTCTGCTTGCACACGACCACCAAGCCGGTCCGTCTTCAAACAACCGTGACGGGCGAGGACACACCGGCGCCACCGTGCCACAGGCGGAAGCCACCACACCAGCCACGCCGGGGCCAGTCGCGCCCGAGGAGGTGACGCTGTGAGTCTGGCGGGATGGGGGGTCCTCTGCTGCGAGCCCCTTCCGGAGAAGCAGACAGTCACTTCCGACCAGCACTGCTCCCAGTGCGGCAGCTGGCAGCCACACTGGACAAGAAGCATCCAGAGCGAGCAGAAGACAAGGTCCTCCCTCAGGGCAGCACGAGACCGCGTTCCGTGCCTGACGGCCGGGCAGACACGGCCGCCGCCCGGCTGGGGCGTTCAGGCTCACCGCCCACCGCAGTCCCCGGTGGACTCTGCCCCTGCACACTTCCACTTGTCCAGGTCTTCACGAAACTCTCTCTCCGGGGACAGCCTCATTCCCTGGAGGGCTGCAAAGGCCCCGGACCAGCCTCCTGCTCGAAGAGGTCAGCGCCCTGGGAGACGGCGGGAGGGAGCGGTGCCTGCGCTGCCCCGAGGAGCTGCTGGTGGGCACGGTCGGGCGTCTCACTTCCACCGAGACACCGGACGGTCTCCCTGGCCACCCCGGAGGGGCCTGCGGACGTGTCTGGCCGGAAACGCTCCTCGGGAACTTGGCATGCGTGTGCGCCGCCGCGCCCAGGGTGGCCTCCCTCGCCCTCACCCCGCCGGGGCCGGTCTCCAGGAGCCTGTTTGTTGGCGTCGAGCCCAGACGTGCTTCCCGTCTGCGTCCTGCGGCCAGGTCTGCCCACAGAGCCCGTCCGACGCCCAGGAACACCGCGTGGCCCTCCCGCCTGGCCCCCGTCAGCACGCAGGCCCACCGACGGCGGGAGGGCCGGACCTGGAGCGGCACCGGGCATCGTGACGGGATGCGCACAGCGCACGGTCAGCTCCGCTGCGGACCGTCCCCCAGCGTCTGTCTGGTGTCTTCCCGTGAGCAGCCGGAATTCCTGCCTGCCGTGAGCTCCCGGGGCGGGTCTCGCTGTCCTCGTCGGTGGCAGCATTCTGATGTGAGGCCGTCACCGGCCACTCACGGGCCCGCCACCCCTGCAGGTGAGGCTGGCTGTCCGGCTTGGAGCCTTCCTGCCGGCCGTGTGCTCGATGCGGGCGTCACGGGGTGCTCCGCGGCCATGTGGGCTCGCTGGCGCTCTCCCCCCGGGCTGGGGCCCCGCCGGCCTGAGCCACGCTGACGCCCGTCTGTCCCGCAGGGAGCGGCGGCCGGCCCCCGGACCGGGGCCCGCGGCTTGTTCGCGCAGCCTGGGACCCCAGTCTCCTGGGCGACGGGCCGCCTCCCTCCTTCACGGGGGCTCTCAGGCCCACGGTCCTCTCTCCCAGACCTCGCCTGCCCCTCCCCCGTGGCCCGTGGCCCGCCTCGGGGCACCCGCTCTGCCCCCGCCCCTGCCCCCGTAACAGGGCGGCTCTTCCTCGTGCCCTTAGCGCGTCTCACCCGTCCTTGGAGGCTGCTCCTCCTCTGCCCTCGAGCCCTGGACACCGGCCTCCGGGACGGCCCCCGCACAGGTCATGCCCCCGGGAGCAGGGAGCTCCCTTTCTGGGCCTCTCGGCAGCTGCCCTGGGAGAACCGCCCCCCCCCCCCCAGCCAGCACGCAGGCCTGTGGCTTGGCCGCGTCGAGACCCTCACCTGCACACACTTCACGTTGATGCCGGGGCACACAAACTTCCTCCAGATCAGGTTGGCTCTGCTGTCCCCACAGGTGATGGGGTACAAGATCTCGGCCTCCAGGTTCTCCCCCTCCTCAGTCACCTTCACTTCTCACCAGGGGCACGGACGGGGAGAGGGTGAGAGGGTGAGACAGAGAGTCGGTCACAGCCACCCCAGGGCCCTTCCCGCCGGAGCGCAGGTGCGCAGGTGCCGCGAGAACCCAGAGCTCAGGCCGCAGGCAGGGCCGGGCCGGCCAGGCAGGGTGCAGCCAGGGCCCTGAAACTGCGGGCCCCCGAAGAGCCACCGGGGACACAGAGGGAGGGACACCCCACTTGGAGCAGCTCCCAGAAGCCCACTCGTGGTGGTCCGAGGGGTGCTGAGGCCTCCAGGGGGAAGGGTTCTGAGGACCTTCCACGCCCACTCAGGACGTCACGACGGGCGAGCCGCAGTGCGGGGCTCCCCCGCACCCGGCCCCCCACCCCCCGGGCAGACCTGCAGGCGCAGGCGCCTACCTAGCACGGCCTCCTTGAGCTGCGAGGACGCTGTGAAGGCGGCTGCGGCCGCGGCCGCCGCATTCTCCGTCTCCATGTTGTCCTCGCTCAGGTCGCCCCTGCGGGGGACGTGGGGGCGTCAGCGAGCCGATGGCCCCGTCCAGTCCGGTCCAGGGGCCCAGCGCCCCTGCGGGGCAGGGGACCTCTGCCGGCAGCCGTCCCTGCCAGCGGTCTGCTCTGCTCACAGCAGGGCCCCAGGCGCCCACCAGCGCCTGGCAAGTGGGGCGGGCACACCACGCCGTGGGGGCCGCCAGCGCTTCGGCAGGAATTCTAAACCCCCGCTTCTTTCCTCGATAAAGTGTCTCGCTCCTATTGTGCTGATTCCACATGCTCCCAGAAACCACCAAGAAACACAGTTTAGAGGCAAGGGTCAGGTCCATGGAGACACCCTCGCCGCATCCCACGCAGTAGGGGTGTATCTGCCCGGATGGGGTCCTGGTGACCCCGGGCTGCACAGGGCCCCCCAGGGAGGTGAGGGAAGTGTGGGCGACCAGGGAGCCTCGCTGCGCCCAGGGGGCTGGCGCCACAGCAGCGGCAGCAGCGCAGGCCGGGCCCCAGGGGCCAGCGCCTTGGAGACGGGTGCCTGGCGTGGCGGTGCAGGGACACTGGTGCGAGCCGCAGGCCCTGGGAGGATCCTGAGGGCAGCCGGGCAGCACCGCGGCGGCGCAGGAAGAGGGCACCCTCTTGCGTGCTGTGTGCGCACACCCTCTTTGCTACAGAGCCGAGCTGACTGGGACCCGTGTCCTCTGGATACGCTGACCGGCCCCAGACAGACCCCCCGGCAGGGCCCACAGGGCCAGGGCTGCGGTTGGGAGTCCTCCGCCGTAGAGCTGGACATGCCCCACCGGCCGGGTGCCGGGGCGGGGCTCAGTGGGCCGGGCGCCCACGAGAGGGGCTTTGGCAAGGACTCCTCACAGCGCCCAGGGCGCCCGGCCCAGGCAGCCCGGCCTTCCCCACCAAGTCCTCCTCGGCCTGCTGGACTCATCGGGGGCCCTCCCCAGTCCTGGGGGCGGGGCTGGAGCTTGCAGCAGAGCATGTGAGGAGCCGCTGGGGGAGGCCCACCCACAGACAAGCCGCCCGAGAGCCGGGTGTGACGCGCCGTCAGTGACGCCAGAACCCAGCCACACCACGAAGGGCTGCCCTCGGACCACGCAGCGTCCACAGCCCGGCGTCCTGCAGGCGTCACAGGAAGTGCCCGGGTGGGGAAGTGCCTGGTCTGGGACCGTCCTCCAAACGTCCTGCTGGATAGTGGGGAGGCTGAAGCCCACCCTTGCGGCCAGTGGCACGCTGAGGTCAGTCTGGATGGGCCACACACAAGACACGGCAGAGATGGCCCAGGGGGGCCGGCCAGCGCAGCCCCTCGGCAGCCGCAGGTGACACCGGGGAGCCCCCTGCCACCACGAGACAGCCCCCATGGGGACCGCCACAGGGTGCAACGGTCCGCTCCCGGGCTAGCTCCCAATGTTCTGCCTGACGTGCACCGTGAAGATGGGGAAGAAACTCTCCGTCACCGCGGGGAGTGTCGGGGGAATACTGGCTCTAAAATGCCACTTTGAAAAACGGTCCCCAATTGTCCCTACTGTCCATCTCATCGGGAGAAGCTCAGGCGTCTCAGGAGATGAGCTGCATGCCCATGGTGACGTGGGTACCAAGGACAAGGACCAAGCGTCAGCTCTGTCCTAGGGATGTGACGTCCCCATTCCGGCCGCCCGCCTGCTCCGGCCAACCCCGGGCGGGTCCAGGACAACCCTGACGAAGGGGAGTCCCCACCGCTCGCCTGGCAGGCGCCCCCAGTGCGGCCGCCCTCACCCGTGAGCAGCCAGGTTGGTCGTCACCAGCACCGTCTTGACCTCCTCCATGCCGCTGCCATCCACCGCGGTGTCGGGCGTCGTCACCACCACCACCTCCTCCATGTGCATGCTGACGTCGGGGGTCGCCATGGCTCGGCAGGGCTCTCAGGCCAGTCCTAGAGGGGACACGGGCAGGGCACGGGCTCGACTCCCCGTCCCAGAGCGAGACCCGGACAGGGGTGACGGCAAGAAGGGCTGCTCCCGGGCCACGGTCTGCTGACGAGGAGGGGCATGGCCGCCCGCCCCGGCCTGCGTGAGGGCTGAGGTGCCCGGGCTGAGCCCCGGACCAGCACCCGGGCTGGAGACTCAGAGTCAGGGCGGTGGCGGGGAGGAGGCCAGGCTCCCGGCAGGTGAGTCTCCAGCTGTTCCCTGCTGCCCCCAGGCCCCGGCCGTGCCCCAGGGCTCTCTCTGCAGAGAGCAGTCACAGCCCTGGCCATTGTGGCTCAGGGGACCGGAGCATCGTCCCATCAACCGGCAGGTTGTGGGTTCAATTCCCGGTCAGGGCACAAGCGGGAGGCGACTGATCAGTGTGTCTCCCCCTCCCTCCCCTTGTCCTAAATAAAGTCAGCGAGCAGGCCTCAGGCAGAGAAGGCAGTGCAGACGCGCCCGTCTCTGGCCCACAGGACCAGCCAGGAGGGAGCCTGGGCGTCTGCTGTGAAGGAAGTGTCCTCCCTCCAGACATCAGCGGCCAGAACGCCCATGAGCCGGGACTAACACGGACCCACACGCAAGAAGGGGACCTGCCACACGCCCATCACCAGACGAGGGACACACGAGACGCAGTCTGCGTGCACAGGGACCAGAACTCAGGTCACCAGGGACCGGGACCCCGTGCCTGCCGCAGGGCGGAGGGGCCCCACGGCACCGGGCTACACCGGGGGAGCCAGGCGTCAAGGGTCCAGCGTCATGGGGTCCATGCCCGTGAGCGCCGTGAGCGTGAGCACTGGAGTCCTACAGATGGAGAGCAGAGCAGAGGGTCCTGGGGTTTGGGGGGGCCGTGTCTAGTGGGTGCACGGTGTCCGCTGGGAGGCGAGCGAGCTCCGGCAGGGCCGGCCGCACGGCAGCGTGAGAGGTCCCGACGGCCCTGAGCCACGCCTGCAGCCGTGGTGTCCACGGCAGTTCCTCAACGTGTGCGCTCGGCCGGGACGAAACGGACTCTTCCGTGCCGGTGGACCCGGCAGCCTTATTAGGACTAGACACGGGCTAGAAAGTGGAGGATACCAGAACTTGCTAAAAAAAAGAAAAGCAGCCCTTTCAGAACTTCATCTTGCAGGTCACCCACCCAGTCCTGGAGGGGCAGGGACGCCTTGCCTGGCACGGGTGCTCACTCGGGAGAGGCGCCCACCTTCCCCCACCCCCAGCAGACTCGCCCTGACCCTGACCTCCCGCCAGAGCGCACCCGCCCAGATTCTGTGAGCGGTTCGAAAAGTGGCCACCGCGGGGCCTCCAGTGTCTGCACGTCACACCGCCTGCTGCTGCTGGCGCTGGGACACCCTCAGGACCGTCTGCTGGGGACAGCGAAGGCAGGCCTGCTGACCCCGGCTTCTCTGTCTGGGGCCGACGCAGTGTCTGCGGGCTCTGCCCCTCCCGCACCAGGAATGGCCCCGACAGCCCCTGGGGGAAGCCACGGGCAAGACGAGCCAGAGAAGGGAGCGAGCGCTTCCCGGACCGCCCACCTCACCGGACAGCAGTGCCCGTCACTTCCACCGTGACCGGAGAGGGCAGGACGGAGGCGTGGGGGCGTGACACCCTGCGGAGGAAGGCTGCCTTCTTGCCAGACAGGCGAGGAGGGCTAGGGAGCAGCCCACGGGCGCCCTGGCCTTGCAGGCGAGCCGGGAGTGGAGCTGGGGCGAGGCCCACCAGAAGGTCAGGGTCAGAGCGTGCAATCGGAAACACGCGCACGTCCCTCTGGACGCATCCGCACGCCGGGGCTGGTGGCCGGACGCCCGGGCGTCCTCCTCTCTCACTTCAGGAGGGCGCAGCGAGGGGAGGACAGGCGGTGTAAAAATTCGGGGGAAAATCTATTTAAGAACCTCAGAGGGTCCTCACACATGGAGCCATTTCCAGGCTGACGCCGGAGCCCCGCCCACAGGGGCGGGGCTGGCGCGGCAGGGGGCGGGGCCAAGTCTCCAGGCCGACGGCAGACGCTTTTCGGCCCTGGAAGCCGCGAGGAGGGACTCGTGGACGCTGCCAGACGGGCCGCGCAACACACAGGCTGTGTTCCAGGTTGTGGCTCTGACACAACGAGCCCTAAGCTGCACGAATAAACTGCTCGGAAGGCATTACTGACCTGCGGTGCGTGCATCGCAGGGTTCGGCTCTCTCACCGAGGCGCCTCCTTTCCCTGAAGGGGGCCCCACAGGGACCACCGGAGTTCGGCTCCCACCGATAGCCGCCGAAAGGCCGGGGCTCAGCCCCCAGGCAGCTGTCCTCACCCCGACTTCGAAACCGCAGCTCACCGAGTTGTGTGAACACACAGAACGGAAGCCTGCCTCTCACGGCCACCGCGGTGAAGTCACTCCACGGGAACGTGCCGCGGTTTAGACAAAGAGCGAGGCCCCTCCCCTGGGCGCTGGCTCCGCCTGCCCAGCTCACGCCACCCCCGGCACTGGGCTGGGTTCCTTACGGGTGGAGATTGGGCCCCAACTAATTTAGAAGTAAGATGAGAAAATATTTTAAGATCGTTCTTGGGAAGGAAGAGGGTATAAGGGTGATAAACGGTAATAAATGGAAATAAATGGTGATAAATGTAAAAAATACAATAAAAATAAACTATTGGCCCTGGCACTCTGGATTGAGCACTGGCCTGTGAACCAGTAGGTCGCCAGTTCGATTCCCAGTCCCGGCACACACCTGGATTTCGGGCCAGGTCCCTAGCAGGGGGCGCTCAAGAGGCAACCACACACTGATGTTTCTCCCCTTCTCTTTCTCCCTCCCTTCCCCTCTCTCTAAAGTTAATAAGTGGAATCCTTAAACACACCACTCTTGGGCAAGGTATATACAAACAGGACGGAAGTGCCAGTGTTCAGTCAGGTCTCGGGTCCAGGCCGGGCTTCCCTTGCCCTCTGCAGCATCACTGCTACCCTCCTCTCCAGGAGGACACAGGGCGTCTGTGGGCAGCAGCCTCCCCGGGCCGGGCGGTCTGGCCACAGACCCCTCAGCGGTAAGGGTGGGTGCTCACGCCCCCGGCCTGCGACCTCTGCCGTAGGAGGTCTGTCTTTGCCGAGGGCCAGGTCGGCACACCCCGCAGGCCACCTCTCAGAACCAGAGCACAGAACCCCTGGAGCCCTGACCCGCCCACCGCCGCCCGGCTCTCCCCCACCTCCCCCACAGTCCTCCTCCCACTCCCTCCTTGGTCCCAGACGCACAGAAGCAGCTGCACACTGTCACTTCCGGGAAGCATTTTTCTCCGTCTGCTGAGATCCTGCTACCAGGCTTATCCTCCATTTGCCTCAGATGAACTTTTTTAAAGATTTTATATAGTTTTAGAGAGAGGGGAAGGGAGGGAGAGAAACGTCAGTGTGCGGTTGCCTCTCGCACGCCCCTACTGGGAACCTGGCCCACAGCCCAGGCATGTGCCCTGACCGGGAATTGAACCAGCCACCCTTTGGCTCGCAGGCTGGCGCCTGATCCACTGAGCCGCACCAGCCAGGGCTTAAACGAATTATGACAAGAATCCTCCACAGGCCTGGATGTTCTTACGTGGACACTTGGATGAAAATACCGCGAGGCACAGCAGCGGTCACACACCAGGGACAAGCACAGTGTCTTGGGTCCTCTCTGTGTCTCAGATGTTTGATTAGTTGCCGACGTTTTCGAAGTTTACGAATTTCACATTAAAAAAATTAGATTTCCAGCTTCTCTTAGAAAATGTCAGAAGCAGCAGCCCTGGAAGGTGGTTCCTCTGGTCCTGCCCCTCCCGGGCACCTGGGCCTCTGTGTCCAGGTCCGGGGTGGGCACTGGAGCCCCCGCTCCGGCCCCAGCCAGGCGCACCGGCACCTGCGCACGCAGCCCTGCACACAGGAATCCGTCCGTGCTCTGAAAAGACCCGTGAGCAGCCTCCCCTCCCAGCGCAGGCACAAGACGGCTCACCTCTGAACAGTGTTACAAGTGTTCTAAGTTCACAGACATGCCTGCATGTTTGTGCACACACATGCAAGTTCCTCCCCTATCCAGTGTGTCTGCTCACAGGTTTTAAGACACTGCCTATGAAGCAATGATTTCTGAACAAGCAGTCTGCTGAATTGGCAATGTTTGGGGTGTATTTAATCCACCTGGATTTACCTTTAATGAGACTATTTTGTGTCCTGTTGGTGGGAACGCCAACTCATGTGGCCACTATGGAACATTGGGTGGTTTCCTCAAAAAATTAAAAATAGAACTAGCACATGATCCAGCCATCCTGCTTGTGAGCATTTGTCCAAAGGAAATGAAATCAAGATACCTGCACCCCACGTTCAGGGAAGCATTACCCACAGTTGCCCACGTGTAGAAGCAGCCTGAATGTCATCTGGTGGCTGAACAGATGAAAACAGGTATCTGCCCTGACTGGTGTGGCTCAGTGGCATGGGCATTGTCAGTTCGATTCCCAGTTGGGGCACATGCCTGGGTCACCAGCCAGGTCCTCAGTAGGGGGCGCTCGAGAGGCAACCACACGTGGATGTTTCTCTCCCCCTCTCTCTCTAAAAATACATAAAGTCATAAAAAAGAAAACGTGGTGTGTCAGTGGAATATAAGTTAGCCTTAAAAGAAGGAATGCTGCTACTTGTGACAGCATGATGACCCAGAGGACATTACGATAAGTGGAACAGGCCAGACCCAGAAAGACAAGTCCTGACCCCACTTATGTGAGGATCTAGGAGAGTCCACCTCACAGCAGGAGAGCAGAGTTGGGGGGCGATTTTATCCGAGTCCGAAGTTTCAGCTGCACCCGATCACCCCGGAGTGCACAGTGCAGCCTGACCTACGGCTAAGGACACTGCCGGGTGCACTTAAGAGCTTGTGGGAGGGTGCACCGTATGTCAACTGCTTTTTATAGCAAAATGACAATAAATAAGAGGGTGGGAGCTGATGTACACGACCCTGGAGCAGACTGCGGTTTCCGGGTAGGTACTCTTCCCGGAACTCAACCCGTTCACATCACTCATGTGCGGCTTTTTCTGGGTCCGAAAACAAGCGAAAAGCCGATAGCATCAAAACTTGCACTTGAAGTGTCAGCAAAGGAACAGACTGGTTCAGGGAAACAAGTCGGCCAACGAGAGGGATCACAAAGTCCACCCGGCACACAGCAGGTCACGTCACTCCCAGCAGCGGGCCCGCGGGGACACGGTTCCCACCCGGGCCCGCGGGGACACGGTTTCCAGCGGGGGAGGGGGCCGGCGGGCAAACGGTTCCCTGCGGGGGAGGAGCTCCGCGGGGACACGGTTCCCACCCGGGGCCTCGTGGACTCGGTTCCCTGCGGGGGAGAGGCCCGCGGCGACACGGCTCCTAGCCGGGCCCGCAGCCACACCGAGGGCCACCCCCTGCGCCCTCCGCCTTCCGGCAAGATGGAGGCGGGTGCGGCCGCCGACGCCGCCTGACGCGGGCCCGTGACGCCCGTGACGCCCGCCGCGCGCCGCCGCCCCTCCCCCGCTCCCCTCCCCCCGCCGTAACGTCCTGACGCTCCGCAGGGACCCCTGACTGGACGGCGGCGCGCGGCGGAGCGAGAGGCCTCGCCGCGGGGGGCGGCGGGCGCTTACCTGGGCCGCGGCTGGGCCTGCGCGGGCGCCGGCGGGCGGGGGGCGGCGGAGGCCGGCGGCGGGGGCGGCGGCGGCGGCCGCGGGCTCCGCTCCTTGTTGGGGATTCGGCGGCGGCGGCGGCGGCGGCGGCAGCGCGGGCGCGCGCTTCCTAGTGACGCAGGCGGCGGGGTCGCGCACGCACGAGCAGGGGCGGGCCCGGGGACTTACTTGGCGCTCCGCGGAGACGGGCGGTGCCGAGAAATAAGGCCTGGCGGAGCAAGATACGCGTGCGCGGCGGTACCTTCGCGGGGCAGCTGGCCCCGGGGCCCCGCCCCTGCCCGCTGGCGCACCTGCCGGGCGTCCACTCACCTACCCGGTGCCGACGGGTCCCTCCGTGGGTACGAGCGAGGAGGGAATGCGGAGGGAGACTTGTTTAAGGGCGGAGGGGGCGGACTGTGCGTGAACAGTGAGCCACCCAAACCCGATGCGAGCCCTCTGGTCCCCGGCAGCGGGCGAGAGGCGCCGTGGGGGGCGCGGGCGGGGGCTGCAGTGAAAGAACGGCCAGCCTGTTCGTCCTTCCTCGCGTGTGGTGCGAATCCGGCCATTGTCATCTTAATTCCTTGCAGTAAGCCTTAAAAAGTGCCTGACTTCACGTCTGAATCTGCGCAGTGCGGCACGGCGCCCCTGTGAGGGTTGACCCTCTGGCCACACGTGCTCACTTAAGTTTAATCAAAATTGTCTAAAGTTCAGTTGCTGCGTTATCACTGAGCCGTAAAAGGCACCTAGATGTAGGGTTAGGGACGCTCTGACGATTTCGTTCTTTGTCCCTGCAAACGTGGGAGCAGAGGCATCGCTCAGCTTTTATGGCTGGCTTTTGACTGTGAGCCAGGTGCAGTGGGGCTTGCTGTCGGAGAGGCGCAGTGCTGGTCCGCAAGGTCCGTCTGTCCTCCCCAGAGCCCGGCGGCAGCTGTCTCGAACAACCCGCTCTTGGCCCGAGGACTTCCGCCGCCCGCACATTCCTTAGTCTGCCTGGCTCCAGTAGGCAGGGCCGGGCCGGAGGGTGGCTGAGGCTGTGCGTCCTCCCCTGAGCTGCTGTGATCTGCCCCTATCACCGCCCCCCCTCCCAGCGGCCGCAGGAAAACTGGGGCGGGGGACAAAAGGCTGCGGGCCGGCCTGAGTGCTCCCACACCGGGAACAGAGGCCGGAAACAGATGTCTTGTTTAGGACCGAGCGGTGAACCCGCGGTCGTTCTTCAGCAGGAAGACAACGAAGGCGTTCCTACAGTGGAAGTTTCCGAGCAAACCCCCCTGCTGTAAGACTGCTGAGGTTTCAGCAGTGTTAACAATTAGGAGAGTTGTCGCATTTCCTTGTCTCCCGTGGGGCAGAGAATGCTTGAACCAGTGATGGGGACAGCCTTCCTTGGAGAAGATGAAGCTGTTGAGCTTGTTATTCAAGCGGAGTGCTCAGCCTGTGTCTTTCGTTTATCTGAGTTTCCCTGTCCTCACGTTTGCTTCTGGACACAAATACCATATAAAGTCAGCAGAGGCCCCAAAGGGCACTGGTGTCGGGGACCCGGCGATGTGGCACCATGCCACTGACATCCTGCCCGCACCCGGCACCTGCTGCCCCGGACCGGTGAGCCTCAGCCACCGCCTGAGTCTGAGCACCGGGACGTCTGGCCTCCAAGTTCCACTGCAGCACAGACTCAGGCCCGGCACCTGAACCTCACCTCCTCTGTCTCCAAAAAGGCAGGGGCCCAGCACTGGGCGCTGCTTGCTGGTGGGACGAGCTAGTTCATCCTGGACAGGGTTGATTTCTCCCTGGGAGCACCCATGGGAAGGGGCCCCACCTGTGCCGGGTCACTAGGGGACGGGACTTTCACTCAGGTTTGTTATAGGGCAGAGGAAAACCCTCGTACGAGTCGCTGTACGAGTCACTGCCTTCGGACCCTCTCCTGAGAACCCCTGGACGCCGGAGAGGCAGTGAGACCAAAGGGTCGTTCCCTGGCCCCAGATGCCATAGGCTCCAGACCAGACAGGAGGTGGGACAGACACAGGCCTGGCTCCCCCAGCGCTCCTGTCCTTGAGCTCTGCCCTGGCCTGGACCCCTCGGGGGTAGGGATTCTGTCCAGGGCGAGAGGGGCCGGGCAGCTGACTGAACAGCACGGGAAGTCCAGGCTCTCGGCCGACCGAAGGAACGGCTCGCTGAGCCTCGGTCTGGTGTCGAGGGCCAGCTGCTGAAACACGCTTTTTTCTTCCAGCCACATGTCTTCCGTGTACCTCAACCGTTCCAGGCTTTTGGGGCTGGAACTTTCATTGTTTGACTTTATGCTAAAAGTATGCTTAAATGAATTACTATTTTTTTAAATTTCTGAGTTGTAATTCCTAATGCGGTAACGGTAGGTCCACGCAACCCCCGTAAGAAAAGCTCTCTGGGGGTGCTCCGGGGGTTGTTAAGGCGGTACCGGGTCCCTGAAACGGAAGCCTTGGAGTTTGCTCAGCAGCCCTGGTGCATCCCTAACACGGGCGGCCGTGCAGCCGCTGCAGTGACACTGGTGACACTTGTGGAGATGGAGGAAGGGAGCCGGCAGCAGCAGCAACAGTGGAGGGGCAGGAAGGCCTCTCCGCACCCCCACTGTCTCCTGGGCTCCAAAGGGGACAGTGGTCTGCGTGTCATTGCGCTCATTTCCTCAAATTGCCGCTGTCCCTGGAACCATTCCTATCTGTGGCAAAACAAGCTGAGGACTGGCCTCCGTGGGGGCTCCCGCCAGCCCTGCCCCACTCCCCCACGTAGGGGCGGTGGCCCCGAAGCCCACCCCCCACCCAGCTGACGCAGGACACACACCAGGACAGTGCAACTGTTTCTTAGCCACACAGGTTTTTCCTTTAATGGTTCGTTTGACTTCGTTGTGAGTTCACTGTCACTACGGGATGGGACGGGTGCATTTACACTAGGCTTCCGCGCTGAGAGCTGCCGCGGCCGAGAGAACCCAGCCCTCGGGTCCCTTCCGCGTCCCACTGCAGCTGCAGGCGCGCCACCGGGCTCCACTCCCGGCTCCTCACCCCTCCCGGAGGCTGTCTTGGCGGGGGCAGGGAGGGGCCTGGGCCTCCACTCCCCCCTAAGCCCATGCAGGGGACCGGCACCCACCTGCTCCCTGGCTGGGCCCCCACTGGCTTCCTCAGGGTGGAGGCCGGGGCACTGGGGGCTGCAACCACCTGGGTTCAGAGGCGCCGGCTCTGCGTCCTGCAGGGACTCTAGTCTGTCCCTTCATGCTTTCTACCAAGAGGACAGTCCCGCTGCAGGGACCCTGCAGCAAGAAGCCCACTGCGGGTGGGGCTGCGGGTCAAAGACCAGACCACCCTCACGTCCAGACAGGCAGCCGCCCTTGAAGGCGCCGGGAGGGAAGCAGTCCAGTCTGGCAAGGTCTTGGCGGGAGAGGCCTAGAGCCAGGCGTGGGACCTGCAGGCTGGCCGGAGGGGCCCACCAGCCAGCCAGGAGTGCCAAGGACGGACTCAGTGGAGAGGTGGCTTGGGAACCCTGGCCCCCGCCTCCTGCTGTCTGCTAAGGGCCCCCCAAGGGACACCTGTGGCTGCCACTCACACCCGGCCACACCCGGTCGGAGTGGAGCTGGAAAGCCCCGACCCTGCGGCCAGGAGCACCGCAGGTGGGCACGGGAAGGGCAAAACTCCAAAGGGCTCTAAGGGCAGGCTCAAAAAGCTCGGGGGGGACAGGGGGGACGGCAGCCGCTGGGCCTTCCCACAGGTGTGCAGCCGGAGGCTCTCGGAAGGAGAGCACGTCCGGGAGGAGGGGTCAGCAGGGGGTGTCATGGTACCCACTGCCCTTGGGTCCTTGGCAGAGAATGGCGGGGAACGCCCACTCCCCCGAAGACTCAGGCCAGGGCACATCCCATGCGGTCCCCACTCCGGCCACAGGCAGTGACCGCAGGCTCACAGGCCAGCCCAGGGTATCCGTCCATCACAGGCCCAGCGGTCTCAGAAAGACCCCTGTGTGACCACACTAAAGGGTGCTGCAGGCTCCACCCACCGTCTCCACGAGCACCGGTAACACACCCTCCCAAGGCCGGCCCCAAGACAGGCAGACCCGGCCCGGCACTGCTCGGAAGTCCGCCTAGGTCTGACTCCCCCTCCCCCTCCCGTGCTGGTCTGGTGTCTGCGCTTGGGTGCGCTCTAAGTGACAAGGTGCTCACAGGACAGCCCAGCACACGGACCTGCGCGTTCCTCCGCTACCTCTGGGTTTACTGAGGTCACCACCACACCCACCAAGAGGGCTGCCAAGAGGGGACCCAGCCACCGCCCGGCCTGGTGCCTGGACTGAGGGACCCTGTGCCACGCCCTGCGGCCCCTCCGGGGAGAGCCTGGGGTCAGCGGCTGCCGGGACTGGGCAGCTCGCAGTGCGGAAAGAGAAGCATGAAGCTGGGGGAGCGGGGCGGGGGCGGGGGCGGGGGGAACAAAAGTGGCATCTAGACAGAGCTGAACAAAACAAAACCAAAACCCGAACGTGTTCTTGTGTCGGCTCAGGATCCAGGCGCCGCGGTGTCCGAAGCCCCCTAGCCGGACATCTCCTCTCTCTGCTCCTTGTTCCTGCGCACCTCGGCCGCGTGCAGCTCCTGCGGGGACAGGCGGCGTGGGCGGGGGCCTGCGCTGCCCCCCACCCCCAGCCCGCAGCGGCAGGGACCCGCCTCACCCTGGCCCGGCCCCAAGCAGGGAGCGGGCGGCGGGGGCGCTGGTGGTGCCGCGGGAAGGGACCCACTAGAGGAAGGGGCTCCTGGGGGACTGCCCCGGCCCCCGGCCCAAAGCGGCTCCCTGCTCCTAGCGCACACCGGACGCCCTCCTCCTGTCGGAGCACGTCAAAGTGACGGGTGTCCGTGTGTCACTGCGTTAGCGGCTGCGTCCCAGCGCCCTCCGCTCGCACGCTGCTGAGGGCGCCCACTAAATGCCGGGGGCGCTCCTCCCGCTACCCCCGCCCCGCCCCGCACCTTCTCGCGCAGCCGCTCGCGCAGCGCCGCCAGGTGCGCCTCGCGGATCTCCTTGCTGAGCTCCATCTTGTAGTTGAGCTTCTCCTCCGCCAGGCGGCTGAAGTTGTTGTTCTCCTCCAGGGCCTTGTGCAGCACCTCGCGCTCGTGCTCGCGCCGCTCCGCCAGCTGCTTCAGCACCTGCGCCTCCTGCGTCTGCGCCGCCGCGGGGGGCGAGCGCGTGAGCGGCGCCCGGGCCCCGCCCGCAGCACCGACGTCCCCGCGCCCCAGCCCGGACCCCCCGCCCGTGCCCCGAGTCCTGATCCCTGCTCCCCTAGCCCGGGCCCCCTCATCCTGGCCTACCGCCCAGTGCCCATCACCCTGCCCCACTGCCCTCTGGACAAGTGTCCTCGCGGAGCTCGGGTCTACACTCTCCTGCGTGGGCGAGGGTGACCTCGCCCGCTTGGCCTGACGTCCCGTGCGTGAGCAGGGAGACGCCTCGGCCCCTCACCCTGTCCGTCTGTCCCGCCGCAGAGCTGCCCCCTCCCTGCTAGGCTGAGGGCAGCCTCTGTCCCTCCCTGTGCTGGTCACGTCCCTCAGGCCCTGGGGGCCTAAACGTGGGGGCTGTCACTGAGCCTTCTCGTCTCTCCTTCAAACCTCTGCCTGCAGGGCCCTAAGCAGCTGGTCCCTGCGCGCCAGGCACTGAGCTCCCTGAGGTGCTGGGGGTGGTGCTCCAGCTCCCCAAAGGTGCCGGCCGGAAATCAAGTTGCAGCCAGGAGCCTGGGGCTGCTGCAGGAGGGGGCACCTGGTGCCCCCCCCATCAGGACAGCCTGAGGCCCCCAGGGGTCATTACCACCCTCTGCTTCCTTCAGGATGCCCCTCACCACTGGTCGGCCCTGGGAAGCCAGGGTCCCCAGGTCTCACTGGGGCCTGCTGACCGGGAGCTGGAGCCACCGCCCCGCCCCGCGGGCTTGTGCGCCAGGACCCGGTCCTGAGAACGCCTCCTCTTGGGTGAGCTTGTCTCCCAGGGGCTGGTATGGGGGGGCGGGGGCCCTCTGAGCTCCCGGCAGGTCTGGGTGTGCAGTGCCCGCCCCCCCCCGGAAGGCCTTTCCTCCTCCTCGCGCCCAGGAGAAGGAGGTCAGTCCAGCCTCAGGTCCCACAGCCACCACCTGACCCCTCCCGGTCAAGGCCAACCCCCCCGCCCCCCGCCGGCCAGCAGTGTCTGGTTCCTGTCTCCCTGCGGCTGGCTGCCATTGGGGACCCTCCCTCCACGCTGTCCCACTCTCATCTCCCAGGAGGAGGCCCCGAAAACCGCGACACTCTCCACCCCAGGCTCCTGCGCCTGGGGGACCATGCCCACAGCTGGCAAGATGTCCTGGCGGGACACCTTCACCAGGGCGGACGGGGCCCTCACCTTCCTTCGCTCCTCAGCCGCCTCCAGCCGCTTCTGCAGCTCTTCCAGGGAGGCGTCCTTCCTCTTGGGGGGAGAGGACAGCACAGGGCTCTCCGGGGACAGATCGGAAGGCGACTTGAGGATGACCTCGAAGCTCTGGCCGGAGGCCCTCTTGTCCAGCTGCTTGACCTCCATGTCTGCAGGGCAAGGCCGGACGGGGCCTCAGGAGGGCCGGCCGAGGAGGAGCTGGCACCCGAGGGGGCGGGATCCCAGCACACAGCTGGAACCCAGGCCTGAGCCCCCATGCTGGCCCCTCCCCCCGAGCCAGACGAACCAGGGGGGTCAAAAGGCCACGGGAGGGGGCGAGGGCACACTCACCCCCATACTGGTAGATGGTGTTGGGGTGTGGCTGTGAGTAGAAGCAGGAGCAGATGAGCGACAGCACGGACAGCTCCTTCATCTTCTCCTTGTAGGCTGCGGGGCGGTGGGGGCGGGGGCCACGGGGGGCCGGTGTGAGCGGCCTCCCCCGCCCTGTCTGTCTTTCCCTCCCCAGGGCCCCTCGCTCCCGGGAACCCCGCCCCACAGCACGGTACCCCGCTGCTCTGGGTGCCTCCTCCGCTCCCCCACTCCTGACCGTGGGTCCGCCCGCCCCTGGGCACGCCGCCCTGCGGGTCACCCTGCTCCCCTCTCCCCTCCGGTCCGTCTCACTCCGGCATCGCCGTCTCGCTCTCATCCTTGCTGTGGGCCCCTCCCTCCCTCTGTCTCTGCCCGTCCCTCTGTCTGTCTGTCACTGTCTCCCTCCACGTCTGTCTGTCTCTGCATTGTCTCGTCTTCCCAACGTTCACTCCCCCTGTGTGGTGGGGTCCCCCACCACATAGCCCTACCCTGGAGTAGACAACTCTCAGGACGGGGCAGCACTGCCTTGGTCTGTACACTTGGGCGAACCCCTCGGAGTCCCTCCTCCCCCTCCGTTTACCCTGACAGGAGGGAGGTCCCTCCCTCAAACCCAGCCTTCCTTCCGCTCGTGCCCTCAGGGCCTGTCCGTGGCCAGCGGGAAGGGAGCTGTCCCTTCAGCACCGCTGCCCGCCACCACCCTGCCCTCGGAGCCAGAGCCGCAGCTGGCATCTTCTGGCCGGGACACAAAAGGGCGGGGGGCCTGGCTGCGGGGCCCTGCGCCCTGCTGGGGAAGGGGACACGCCCAGTCTCAGGGTGGAAATAACTGAGCTCCTCGTGGAGTGTCCACAGAAAGCCCCGGAACAGACACGCTGGTCCCGCGTCCCAGCAGGGCCCCGGGACCCTGCAAGCCCAATACGGCCACCCCCACTCAACTAAGATGATGCCAGGCCTGCCCAGGATTCGGGGTGACTCGCCCAAAGCTCCTCGAGCTCAGTCCCAGGTGCTCCATATTCTTTCCACCACGCCAGGGGGTCCCCAAGTCTAGGGGGCCCAGGGACCCACGTGCCACCAGAGACACGGTACACCAAGGAAAGGCAAGAGAAGTCGCCTACAGCACTCCTCCAAGGGCCGCAGGAGCCCATGGACGGGTGTCGAGACGGGCGAGAGACTCCCCGGCCGACGCTCACACCGGGCGCCTTGAGGCTGAGTTGGCACGGAGCCGGGACGCGCACAGGACAGAAGTGCACGGGCCTGGTCCGAGGGGGCCGCTCCTGGGAGCAGGGGGCTCCCTCGGCCAACACTGAGCCTGGGGCCGACTGATGGCCTGACTCTTCTGGAGAGGCCGAGAGGGAACCCAGTGGACCCCTGGACAGGCAGCAGGGAGAGCCTCGGGGGTGGGTGGCGGGGCGTGGGGCAAAAACACGTCTAACTCATTGGCCCCAGGAGGCTGGAAGGGAGGCAGAGGGCGGGGCTCAAAGAGGATTTCGGTCTGACTTGTCGATCTTATTTCTTTACAAGCAGAGTTGATTCCTGTATTACAGGTGCTGTTAAAAGTTAGTCTCATCCCTGGCTGGTGGGGCTCAGTGGATTGAGAGCCGACCTGCGAACCAAAGGGTCACGGGTTCAATTCCCAGTCGGGGCACATGCCTGGGTTGTGGGCCAGGTCCCCACTAGGGGGCGAGTGAGAGGCAACCACACACTGATGTTCCCCTCTCCTTCTCTCTCCATTCCCCTCTGTCCAGAAAAATAAATAAAATCTTTTTAAAAAATTGTAAAAATATATCTTTAGAAAAGTTAGTTTCAAAGAGGAGGCAGGGGTGTCCAGCACAGTGTGGTGCTGGGGGGGCCAGAGGGGATGAGACCGGGCAGAGCCAGCTCCCGGGACGGGCAGCCAACCCTGCGTTCAGAAGGGGAAGCGGGGGGCGGGGGGGGCTGGGCCAGTGGGCACCCTGGGCGCTGGAGGGGCCAGGAAGGAGGGGCCTCTGTCTAACCTGCCAGCACCGGCCCCCTGGGCAGCAGCTCAGCCGCACACCCTGGCCTTCCAGAAACTCCGACCGGGGCGAGCTCACAGGCCTGGAGCCCGGGCCACACGGCTGCTCTGGCCCCTCTCTGCCTCGAGCCGGGATTCTCCCAGGAAAAGGAGCTGCAGGTTCGTTACAGAGGACCCAGCTCATGGACAGGTGCCAGGGGCTTCCTTGTCCCCTCAGCGCGGGGGGCAGGAGGCCGGCGGTGACTCAGGGAGCCTGTGCGGGCATCAGCTCTGCGTGGTCAGGAGAGGGGGGCGGAGCCAGGGGCTGGGACTGAGGCCAGGGCTCTCAGAGGCCTCAGCTCTGTGCCCAGGGGACACGTGTCCACCCAGGAAGTGAGGGTCTGTGTCCCCTGGCTGCGGGCGGGGACACAGCTCAGTGTCGGAGGCCCCGGAGATTCCGCAGGTCGGTTTCTCCTGGTTCTTTCCAGAAGACCAGGCCCCAGCAAGCCAGGCGGGAGGGGCTGCAGAGTGAGGCCCCCTGCGGTCCGGCTGCACGCCCGAGGGCACTGGCCGGCGGCTGGGGGGTTGAGACAGGAGGCTGTGTTTTCAGAACTGGCGGGGCTGAAGGGTCATGTCTCATTGCAGAGGGAAGAGGTGGGGACCCAGGGCCACCCTGGCCCTCTCTCCCCAGACCCAGCGCAAGCCAGCAAGCCCCTCCCTCCAGGCCTGGGGGCGCACCCAGCCTTTCCTCCCCTTCACCCGCAGCCTCCGCTTCCTCCCCCCCCGGCTTCGGAAGTCGTCACAAACAAATCTCCACCACGACGTGAACTGATGTCCTCTCCTCTTCCTCTTCGCGTGAAACGTGAAATAGGCAGAAATGCACCTTGGGTTTGGGTGATTCGGTGCTAGGTGAGCACGAGTGAGAAGAAGGCACCAGACCAGCCCGCAGCCGCACGGTGACAATGAGACCAGCGTCCGTCCATGCTGGGGGGGGGGGTGCACCACACCCATCCTTCCAGCGCACCCCCCAGACCAGCCAGCCCAGGCAGACGCCCTAGTTGGCCTCACTTGTCCAGAGAGGGCAAGTGGTGCACCCAAAGTCACACAGCTTGCCAGGCTGGGAGCCTGGGCACAAGCCCAGGCCTCTGCTGGCACTTTCCCGCTGGGAACCTCAGGGGGACAGGGCTCCGTCCAGACCCGGGAGGGCAGGGGGGCCGCAGAGGGGCCCTGGGGGCTGCCGCTGACTGCTCCCCAGCAGGTGGGGCTGCTCACCACCCAGGCCGCCCCTGTGTCTCGGGTCAGAGTCCCCTCGAACGGTGCTGGGAGCCCAGCCGGGGGAGCTGTTGCACAAGCCCCCTTTCTCAGGGCAGGAAATGGCTGCCCGGCCTGGACCGGGCCACCATCTCTGGCTGGGTATCGGGCTGGGTGTCTGTCCTGAAATGCCTCGTTCAACCCCAGCACAAGCCTCGGGGGGCACCGTCACTGTCACCCCATCCAGACGGGGAAGCTCCAGCCCCGAAGGTTGAGCGCTCGGTGGCAGGGGCGAGGCCTTGGGGCCCACGGGCCTGCGTGAGGCTCCGGATGAACAGGAGCCTCTGTGAGTGCGTGAGAGCCGCCAGCCTGGGAAGGACCCTGGGGTGGCCGGGGGGCACGCGGGAGCTCAGCCCCGCAGAACCCTTGGGAGAGGGCGGCCGGAGCTCTTCCTGCCCAGGAACAGGAAGCTGCGGCCGACCTCTCGCGACCCCGAGCCACAGTGGCTGACGCTTCCCCCGGTCACCAAGTCCCAGTGCAGCCCCCAGGGGGCGTGAGCCCACGGGCGGCTGAGGCCCAGGAGGCCGGCCGCTGCTCCCGTCGGGGATGGCTGCGGCAGAGACGCCCGGCTGCAGGTCACGGAACCCAACTGTGGCCACCTTTACCGGCACCCGCCCGCAGCCAGAGCCCAGTGCCGGGCCGGGCCGCCGCCACGCTGTCCAGCGCTGCCGGTACAGAAGCTGGCGGGCCACACGGGCCCGTGCACCTGGGGCAGCTCTCTGTGGAGGGCGGCGCCGGTGGCAGAGCACAGGGGCCTGGCCCTGGTGACACTGACCGGGGGCTGTTCCCCTCGGGCACGGCAGCTGGCCTCTGGGGCGGAGGCTGCACTTTGCACACCAGCAGCAACTCCGGCAGCCCGGGAAAACCGTGGGCGGAGCGAGGGCCAGGAGCGGCCCCTCAAAGAGACGGCTGGGCTCAGGGGTGTCTGCGCCTGGCTCTGATGGCCATCGAAGGTGAGGGTTCCGCCGCATCCTTCCCTAACGCCAGGTGGAGGGCGGGGCCAGCCCTGTAAAAGGCCGAGAAGTGCTCCCTGCCAGGGGCTGCCCATTGTCTCCCCGCCCCCCCCCCCACTCGGGCCCAGCTGGTGTGACAAGGACCCGCAGCCCCTCCTCAGGGTGGGACGGGGCAGCTCTCTGGCCACACAAAAAACGGAGAGGTCCTCTGTCGATGGGGGAGGCTCTCTTTCTGCCCAAGGCCGATCCCAGTGTCTCCGTGAAAGAGCAGAGTGAGAGGTCGGGGCGCCAGATCCCCAGAAGATGTGGGCGGACACGGTCCCCCAGACAGGTGCAGGCGTCAGCTGGGACCCCCAGACGGGTGCAGGCATCAGCTGGGTCCCCCAGACGGGTGCAGGCGTCAGCTGGGACCCCCAGACGGGTGCAGGCGTCAGCTGGGACCCCCAGACGGGTGCAGGCGTCAGCTGGGACCGGGAACCCCCAGGGCCTGAGGGGAGGGGTCCAGGAGGGGCACACGAGGCGGGCGGGGCCGTGGAGAGGTTCAGGTTGGCTAAAGGGAAGGGACCAGGCCACCTGCCCCCAGGGCAGGGCAGAGGGAGGGTGGGCAGGGGCGCGGTTCCCAGTCAGAGGGGTCCCGGGGCAGATGGGGGGTCCGAGTGCAAAGACGAAGCTGGTCGTGGGGCGGCTGGACGGAGCAGATTGTCCCTGGGGACCACGAGCCCAGCTTCCTCACTCCCCTGGTCGCCTGGCCGCTCCCCACCGAGTCCGAAATGTGCCCAACGACCACTGGAGCCCCGCCAGGAAGGTGGGGGGTCCTCAGCTCGGGAGGCAGGGTGGAGGAGGGAGGTGCAGATCCCCCCACCCTGGAAAGTCTGGGAAATGGCAGCGGCCCCTCCCCCATCTCAGCCCCGCTGCGCAAAGGGTGGTGGCTTTTCCGACCAGAGCGGCGGCACGGTGTCGCAGAGGGTGGTCCCCGAGCCTGCTGCGGTGAGGCGCGGGCGCAGAGACCCGAGGGGCTGCTCCCCGGGGTCCCAGCTCCGGTGCCCTCCCCGCACTCGCCAGCACCAGAGGCAGCCTTCCCGGGCGCTCTTCCCTCGGTGCGGTGAGGGCGCAGCTGCCCCGGCCCTGGGCTCAGGCTCCCACAAAGGGTCCCACCCGCTTCCCTCTCCTTCTGCGAGGGCGAGGTCAGACCAGCATCTGCCGGCGCCCCAGGGGGCCCCGTGCGCACCAGCAAGCATGGACACCGGGAGCACGGCCCGTGCCCGCACCTGGGGAGCCACCCTGCCGCAGTACAGTCAGGCCTGGCACCGCGGCACCCGAGGGGCAATGCGCCCCAGCGCCTGAGACCCCACCCACGGCGCTGCCCCGGCGCCCCCTGCCAGGCTAACGCCTTCCGGGTCTGCGCTGCAGTCCCAAAGGGGCACCGAGTCGCGCCTGCCGGTTCGGCCGGGCCGCGCCCTGTGTCCTTGTGGCGCGCGGGTCCGAGATGGGAAAACAGAGTTCGCCACCGGTCCCAGCAGGAGGTGAGGCTGGACAATGGCCCTGGCTGGGACCTGCCACGGTTTGCAGAAGCCCGCGGGTAGGGCGCCTACCGGACACGGTGCTGGCCATGGTGCTGGCTGCGGCGGGGGCTGCGGAGGAGGCCGGAGAGGCGCGGGCGGCGGCTGGAGCTGCAGTCGGCGAATGCTGCAGTGCCGGGGAGGGGAGGGAGCGAGCGGGGGAGGGGGAGAGAGAGAGAGACAGCGCGAGAGCGAGCGAGCCTGGGGTGGCCGGGGCTGCGGGCGTCAGAGGGAGGAGGGAGCGCGGGGACCAGCGCGGACGCAGGGCGGAGCGCGGCAGCCAGGCGCCCATCCTCCCACTAGGAGGACCCCCCGCGCCTCCCACCTGGCTTTGTGCGGACTCGGCTGGGGGATGGAGACGCCCGTTCTCGGGGTGGGCACAGCAGGAGGGTGGGGCGGAGCGGTCTTCCCTGAGGCCCCTGCAGGCCGCAGGCCCCCTCTGTGCGCCTAGTTCTGTGCTGAAGGGAAAGCGTGTCTGGCTGTGGGTGGGGGCTGGCGTGGAGCACGGTGGAGAGGCATCCCCGAGGGGGAGCAGATTCTCAGGCAGAGAAGAGGGAGTGGTGACCACAGGCTGGGACAAGGGCTCCCAAGCAAGACAGAGGTGGGTCTGAGCACAGCTCTGAAGGCCCCTCGCCACGCGACCGAGGGTGAGTTTCCGAACCCTCCGGGACTCCACAGCCCAGGTGGTCGAGGACAGATGTGCACGCCCGGTGAGTGGGAGGGAGGCGGGGTATTCTGCCTCCCCTCCTCCGGGCTCCCCCTGGTCTGTTCTCACAAAGGGCGATGCTGGCAGAGGTGATGGGCCCTTTCCTGCAGGGGGCGCCTCTCCTCCCTTTGGGAATAGAGAGTCAGACGGGCGAGCTGTCCTTCCCGCTTGAGGACGGAGCCCCTGGGGCTGAGAGTGGCGCTCACTCCTGGAGCGGTTGAGTCCTGGGGGCCAGGAGCCGGGCTGTGGGGAACCTCAGGGGCCTGCAGGGGGCAGAGGCAGGCTCAGAGCAGCGACAGGCAAGGACAGGCCTGAGGATCAGAGCCGGGCAGGAGGAGGCCCAGCAGGTGTGCACATAAGCACGCCTCAGTGTGCACGCCCAGCAGGCGTGTGCCTGGTTCACACCTGTCCCGTGGGCCACATGGCATCCTGCCCACCATGGGCACCCCCTGGAGTCGCTGTGCCACTGGGCAGGGCTTGCTCTGGCCAGCGCCGGGCTCCCTTTCCGCTCACGGTCAGGGTCAGGTGCGGCACAACGGCATCTCCCTGATTTGGTTTACGGGAGGCTGGGGAGTTCCCGGGCATGATGTGCGACCAGGCAGCTCAGGCGTCAGCTCAGGGGCGTGGGGTCCTCATCCCCGGGCTCTGGGTCCTGGCAGTCCCTTCCGTGGGCTTCCGGGGGGGATGAACGCCGCTGCTCTGAGAGGAGGGAGGGCGTGGAGGGGAGCAGGCGACTCCTGGCTCTGAGACTTGCTGGCTGCTGGCTCGGGGCAACCTACCAACCACCTGTGCTTTCCCTCCTCACCTGTAAAGTGTGGAATATGAAAGAAAGAACTTATCTCAGCCCTGGCTGGTGTGGCTCAGGGGTCTGCGTGCTGGCCTGCAACCGAGACGGTGCCGGTTTGATTCCTGGTCAGGTCACCTGCCTGCGTTGTGGGCCAGGTCCGCAGATAGAGTGTATATGAGAGGCAACTGATAGATATTTCTCTTCCTCTCTACTCCTCTCTCTAAAAAAAATAAGTAAATAAAATCTTTAAAAAATCTAACTTATCTCAGAGGTCGTCAGGACAAACCCACCAGAGCCTGCATGGATGGTGGCGAAGCCTGTGGTTGGTGGGCCTTCAGCAAGCGTGTGGCCAGGTGTCCCCATCTTCTCCGAGCTCCTCACTCAGAGGCCAAGATGGACACTCTCCAGTCCCCTCACGGGAACAGGCAGGTGGGGTGGGAGCCAGCTTGTGTCCTGGGCTCCCCCAAGCAAGCTCTCAAGCAGCAGCGCGGACGCCTGCCTGCCCGCGGGGAGACAGGGGGATGGGAAATGAGCCCACCAGCAGCTCTGGCACCAGCACACCAGCTGCCCGAGGACCATCACTGCGACGCCGACTCCTTCCTGGTGTCTCTGGACTGTGCTGGGGGCCCTAGACAAGGACCTCTGACCCTGCAGAGCCGTACAGACCTCCAGGACCCCTGTTGACTGCCAGCCGGTGTGAGGCGCTGGGGGTTCAGAGCGGCCCCGCCCTGATGGGTGGGGGACATGGACCTGAAAAGTGGCTGAGGGGCTGGTGAGGCCCCCAGTGGCTGGGTCATGGCAAGGGGCGCCATTTGCAGATTTTAAGGGCAGTGATTGGCTTAGACTCGAGTCTTAAAAAGACCACTGGGCCCTGGCCACGTGGCTCAGATGCTTGGAGGGTTGTCTGGTGCAGCAACAGGTTGTGGGTTCGATTCCTGGTCTAATCCTTGGTCTGAGAGGCAACTGATGCTTCTCTCTCTCTTCCCCTTCCTCTCTCTCTAAGATAATTTTTAAAAGGTCCTCAGGTGAGGCTTGAATACGTAAATAAATACATAAACACATAAACACATAAACACATAAATACATAAATACATAAATAAAGCAAGCAAGCTCTGGTGCAGGCAACCAAGGTGTCTGGCCCTGGAGGGGTAGTGGAATGGAGACCCTGGTGGGGATGACGGGCGGACCCCAGGCTCCTGCCCGCGAGCGAGGGAGTGCCGGTCCCCGGACCCACCGCACGGGTAGCGCGGAACCCCGGGCTGGAGAACAGTTTCCGCTGGGAGCACCGCCCGGCGGACCGGACCTGGGAGCGGAAGTGACGTTAAGTGACGGCTGCGCGCCTCAGCCCGCGAAGTCCGAAGTGGCTGACGGCGGAGGTCTTGCTGGTGGTGCCTCGGGCGGACTGGGGCAAATTCCTGGGACCCCCGGTCGTGGGAGGCTTCCCGCGGAGACAAGGGGGCCGAGAATCGCGGAGATCCTGGAACTGGTACTTTGACCCGCGCGGCGGCGTCCGAAACTACAGGTCCCGGCAGGCCCCGCGCCGCCCTCCGCCCCAGGCCCAGGCGATTTGGCCGCGCTGCATTCTGGGGCCGGTGGTTTTTCCGCGCTCGTGGGCTCGGGGTGCTTCGCTTTGCGGAATCGGTCCCTTAGTGGTCGTTCCGTGTTGCTGGGCTCTGCAGCGAGCGGGGGGACACTCAGTGTTTAGGGGATGGACTTGTGAGTCCTGGCGTACAGGCGGAACTGGGACCTAGAGACGCTGAGTGATTTGCAGGGGACCACACGGATTCGCCCCCCAGCTTAAAGCAGGCACACGTGCCCCTTCGCTACATCCGGTTGCCCACCTAGGAGAGATGGGTCACAGCCCCCAGCCAGGGGGGCGGAGGGTTGGGAGACGCCGGGGCAGGAGCTTCAGACCCGCGCAGGCTGGGACGGGACGCTGCTGGAATCGGGCCTCTCAAGTATGGGGGGAGGGAGCGACTCATTACAGGGGAGCGCGTGCAGCTGTGCCCTCCTTCGGCTCTTCCAGTCTCTGTGAGCCTGGGGGCCTCTCCCAGAGCCGGGTGGGGTTGCGGGGCTGGGGGCGCAGAGGAACAGGCAGGGCTGATGTTGGCTTTTCCACCTCCCAGCTCCCTGGGATAGGCTGTTACAGGCCCACCTGGGGACCTTGTCCGTGGGAAGGGGCTGCCCGAGGTGACTGGTGGCCTGGCCTCCTGGAAGGCTGGCTCCAGACGGTCTTGTCCCGCTCTCTGCTGCAGGAGTTCCCTGGAGAGCTGCGTCCCGTCCAGGCGCCTCCGGCTGGCGTCACCCACCCGGAGTGGCCGGGGCCCTCAAATACGCAGAGGGGGTTTTGTCTTACACGCCCACCCAGCCCGCGCTTCAGCCGCCCTCTGCGCCCTCCCGAGAACCGGCCGCCATGCCCAAGATCACCCTGAACGGTGTGACGGTGGATTTTCCTTTCCCGCCATACAAATGCCAGGAGGAGTACATGAGCAAGGTCCTGGAGTGTCTGCAGAAGGTGAGGCTTGTGCCTGGGGGGCGGGGCGGGGCGGGGCGGGGCGGGCTTCCTATTCCCTGGGACCTGGTCCTGCTGGGTGGGAGGCCCCCTTCTGCACGTGGGACCCAGTCATCAGTAGGGCCGAGGGTGTAGGTGGGTAGGAGAGACGATGAATAGCGACGAAGCAAAGGTAACTCCAGGAGGCCACGAGTGCTGGGACCAGACGCAAGGTGACCTCTGGGAGGAGGTGGCGTCTGGGCTGAAGCCAGGTGACAAGGAGCAGCCGGCCGTGTGAGGGTCGGGAGGGCGTATTTCCATGTAGAGGGGCAGCCGGGGCCCAGCCCTCGTGGTTCGCGGCCTTTAAACCTGGGGGAGTGCCGGGAGGTGGAAGGGGTGCAGACTCCTCTCTGCGGGGCTTCTTAGGCGCCCCCTGCTCAGGCCACCCCCAGGTGCCTGGGGCTGAACGCGGCCAGACGCCAGGCTGCTGCTGTGGGCACAGACCCCTGCAGCCAGGAGCCGGGCGCAGCCTCGCCCCCCGTCTGCTGGGCCTCCTGCTCAGGCTCCGTGTGGGAGCAGTGCAGGCCCTCGGGGTCCTCCCGACTGTGTGGCGGCCTGGACCCGGCACCGCAGAACGAGCTCCTATTCTGGGACTCGGCACCTCATCAGTCACCTTACTATTTGTGTTGGGCTGGAAAACACTCTGCAAACTGTTTGCCAGGGAGGGCTGAATTAGGCCGCAGCCTCGGTTCAAGGTGGATGCCTCCTGTGGCGTCGCCCGCTGTCGCTGGGGCTCTGGTCGTCTGGTGGGCGGGCTCGGCCCAGCACAGCCGCGGGCCTGTCTCGGGGGACGCCGTGCGCCCGCGGAGCCTCACCCCTGCTCCCCGTCCAGAAGGTGAACGGCGTCCTGGAGAGCCCCACGGGCACCGGGAAGACGCTGTGCCTGCTCTGCAGCACGCTGGCCTGGCGGGAGCACCTGCGCGACGCCGTCTCGGCCCGCAAGATCGCCGAGAGGACCCCAGGGGAGCTCTTCCCCGACCGCCCCTTGTCGTCCTGGGGGAATGCTGCCTCAGAGGGAGATGCCGCAGGTCAGCCCCCGTCCTGTCCTCCCGCAGGGGTGCGGGCACCGCGGAGGGGGCGGGGGCGTGTGGGGGCGGGGCGTGAGGGTGGGCGGGGCCCTCCAGCAGGAGGAGTGGGCGG